AAGTCTAGTAGCTTCTTCAAACTATCGCCAGTCATGAAAAGATCCGGTCAAATGACACGAGTTTAGATCTATGAACAAGGCACGAAATGGAAAAGAATCGGCGACAGGCCACATCAGGCCTACACTTCAGAGCCGACATCACTATGTTATGTTATGTTATGTTATGTAAAAATTATGAATAATCTAAGCGCATGTGAATGGAGATAAGACATCATATTTAATTATCTTAATAATGCTCAAGAATGAAAATAATGAACTTTCTCGTCAACCCTTCAACTCCGTCAACCTCCAAAGCTCAGACGGTTTTCTTCACCCGTTTAACCTAGCTCCAACCAACCGCAACAGCCTCACTGCTTACCTCTCTGCCTCTCCGTCATTTTCATCACCGTTTGCTATCCACCAACCTGCCGGGAAAGCGCGAGGCTCTCGAGGAACCAGTGCCTCACGAGGCCAGACTCGATGAGCCTCAGGAGACTTGCGTCCACCGCCGCTTTCAGAGGCGAGTGTTGTTGAAGCGCCAGGGCAATGCTGTAGGGAGCGAAGCACTCCTGTAGGAGTAATGTTGCTGAACTGGCTTTCCTGTAGGATCCATGTTGCTTAGCATGAAACTTTGCAGTTACCATCACGCTTAGAATAACTTGTCGGACTGGTGAGAACCCAAGCTGTCCTTCCATGAAATTATCCTTAGTTCCCAGACCTCCACTGTATCTCTGACACGCACACGGCACCTTCCTGACATCCTCACAATAATTTCTTACGCGCTCGTCCCCTAACTTTCGTGACACATACACGGTTTCTGATCGACGCTAATGACAGCTTCACGAAAGGCTCACGGTAATTTCATGACAGGAAAATCGTTTCCCGCAAGGCACCTTCATGATGCGAAGACAAGGACGAGCGCAGGGGTATGTGGCGATGGTGTATTCGAGGAACTGGCGGTTGTGAAGGTATACAGCGTCACCTTTCTGCACCCTCGACCAAGCGCTCCCTAGGTCGTCGTATCCCATGAAGCGATCAGCCAAACCCTGGTACATCACCCATGTTCAACCATGAGCTATAATTATTAATACACACCCAAGCACAACGCACTACAAACCTGGAGTGACTCAATCACAATCTTAAACATTATCTGCCACATCATCAAGCTCTGTCACATCAACCATGATCATTCATACCTTACAAAATCAAAACTCTTGGGCTGCACTTGCACAACATTCAAATGCCCACCATAGCAATATAAGCGCATTACAGATACGTATGTGGCCGTGTCTTCGTATCACGTCCATGTTTAATGCAACCTCCTTGTATGTTATCCTTTTGCCACAGTCCGAAATTACTCATTGGTGCTGCATTGAGCTTCGGCATACCTTCGGTCTTACAGACTATCAGAATATTCGCCATGCCCTCTGCTGAAAAATACAGATTTTGTTGATTCTGGCATTTTATTGAATATGTATAAAAAATTGCCCAAAAATACTGGCTTATCTTTCATGGATCAGCAGAGGCGATGATTTCATTAATGCGCGTATTTAAAAGGCAGAAAATATATTTTCAACTGAAGACGAGTGTCCACTGAAGATATTGCGAGGCTTTTAATAAGCGGTGTTGACGGTGAGTGCCTATTCACATCAACCCCAATTCATCATCATGCATTGTTAGAATTTACACAGAACGGTAAATGATAAATATCAACTGACAACCTTCTAATTTATCTTCTTACCCCCAGTTGAGACCCACTGCGGACATTCATGCTTCAACCTTGAGGTTGGGTTAACGACACATTCATCTCCCACATTCATAGAGAACTAAAGGTTCTTGCACACCCCCACCTCCAGGTACGGGTCGATGGCGTTGGGTTAACGACTCATTCATCTCCCACATTTACAGAGAATTAAAGGTTCTTGCACACCCCCACCTTCAGGTACGGGTCTATGGCGGAGGCCAGGGCGCCCCTGAAGAAGTCCCCAAGAGAGGTGACTTCCAGGCCCGTATCATAGAGACCTTTGATTGTCTCGAACGCCGGAGGGATCTTGGTCACCGTCAGGAGTGCTGTCAGGTTACTGCAGTACGCGACGGTGATGACGATCACGTACAGCCAGACCACGCTCAGCAGCAGCTGTCATGGTATAACCGTACAGACCAGGAATCTTTGAAAAGGCTTTCATTTGGAAATGACGTGAATCTTTGATATGACTTTTCTATTGAAAATGACACAAATCTTTGCGATAACGTTTCTTTTAAGAATGATATGAATCTTTGAAATGATCTTTTATTGAATGATGCACAGATAACAAATAAATGGGAAATGAGGCATTTTAGGCTAATATATGATTACACTCGGATGACACGTCAAGTAACTGATCTTAATTAAACACTAAAAAATGTCAAATGATTTAATAGAAATTATGATCCTCCATGTACATTCAGAATTTATTCTTTGTTTTAAAAGTGAAACTTTCCATTCTACATGCACATCTGAATTTGCAAAGAACACTTTTCCAAACGAGGTCGAATATATACTACAGCAGCAAAGAGCTTAAGTGCATCACGCACCCTGGAGCTGTGCCTTTCGGGCCTCCAGTTCACCGGGTCTCTGAAGACGCGACCCAGCGTCTGCTGCAGCGTCTGCTTCTTCTTCGTCGGCTGCTCCGCCCTACAATGACATCACTAATTATTCTGTACCAAGAATGGAGTGGATGATCATTATGTGTAGACGAAAATATGCAAGTGTACGAATACTTTACGTTGATGGCTTACACGCAATACCTGACACGATTATTATACACAGTAGCTACGTTACAGCGCAATAACTAAGAAAATTTATGAAGAGAAACGTTCTCGTTCAAAATAAATACGCCTAACACTCACAAATACGCGAAATAAAATATTATGTTGCTTTATACGAACAATAATCAAATTAAAATTTTTTTAATGTACCGTCTAAAACGTATATTAAATTGCAAACAAAATTTCAGTCGTAAATAAAGCTATAGAATATTTAGAGTTTCCTAAATAACGTCGATGATCTTAAAACGGGTTGTTTTCTCCTAAGATTTGACAGCGCAATTATGCGTTCAGACATCACCGGCTGCCAAACACCACCACCAAATTGATGCTAATCCTACAGGGCAACCGCCAGCCAATATATTAACTGAAAACACTTCTCATTGCTTCTCTGGGTGAGTGTAGTAGTGATGATGAGGGCCATCCCCAGAGAAAGGAACCCAAGCCCCACAGCAGCCCATGTCACTCTCGAGAAGGGGAAGGTGAGGCTTTTCCACCGTGGCAGAGCAGGCGCTGCGCTTACCATAAAACAGGAGACCTGCAGGATCACGACAATATTGCCTTTGCAAGCGAGTGCCCATGTGTTTATTGCTGAGCATCAGTTTTAATCGGTTATCTGGCACCTGTTTTCATTTCATCCATGACGCACTTCATCCTTCGAACATTTCATCTTTAAATGATTTAACCTAACCTAGCCTACAGGTAGATACCTATGTTTGCAAAATGAACTTTAGGCAATGATGCAATTTTTTGGTGAATTACTATAGTGATGAAATGTCCCAATGATGAATTGATATAACGAAGAAATATCTGGTATGATGACGTGAGCCTCAGTGCAGCACTACCTCAGCATCATACGGCGTGCTGTAGAGCACAGTGCAGCACTACCTCAGCATCATACGGCGTGCTGTAGAGCACCAGTGCAGCACTACCTCAGCATCATACGGCGTGCTGTAGAGCACCAGTGCAGCACTACCTCAGCATCATACGGCGTGCTATAGAGCACCAGTGCAGCACTACCTCAGCATCATACGGCGTGCTGTAGAGCACGGCGTGGCTGCGGTCAGCACTGAGGAAGAGGTTGCCAACCCCGATGTCAGCGCGGGTGCTGTTCACCATCCCCACCATGCCTGTCCACTCTGCCCCCTTCAGCAGGCCCCAAAACTCCCCTGCACGACAGTAAGTCGCGTTGGTGATCGAATATTAAATAGATAACGATGATTAAAAAGAAAGTAGAGCAGTTAATAATCGCATGGCTGCGATTCAAACAAACGAGTGGTCAAATAATAATTAAAGCATCTGTTGGAAGACAGATGCATAGTTACGAGATGATGATGCATTGTTAATAGATAAATTAATTGCGATAAATATAATCGACCACTTTGATTACATTTTCTCACTTGAGGAACTGAGTGAATGATTATATTAAAATTGAGGCAAGAAATTTTCCGTTAAAAATCGCGATTTTTAATCGCAGCAAAAAAAAATCGCAGCAAAAAAATTTTTTTTGCTGAATGCAATAATTTTTTGCATCCTGCTATTTCTTACTGTTTCAAATTTTTTATATATTATAATTTTACATGCATTAATTGATTGAATTTTTCGGCTCTAAATCTCGTTTTGTCAATTCCTCACATCAACCAAATTTGCTAGTGTAGAACTCAACGAAAAATAAGCATGTCCCTGAGCCTGCAAATTCCCGCTTATTAATGAGAATTGTAGGGGTCATCAGTGCGTCTGGTTCTGGCCACTTTACTGTGTCGATTGTAACCGTAAAACTGTTAGTGAAAACGTGCAAGACATCATGGCTGTTCGTTCGGTGATATCTGTGTGTATACCCGATGACAACGCATGTGATCAGCAGCTAGTGGTGGGCACAGTCCGCTAATCCCCTAACCGCTAATTAGCGAAGCTAACGTTTTCCTTAGCCGGTAAGCCACACTTATAGCTGATTACGTCAACATATGTACGTCAAACAATCACGTCATGTTTAACAAAATACGTGATTGGTCACAAAAGACGTGATTATTGACGTACATAGGTTGACGTAGTCTGCCATCCGTGTGGCACACCAGCTAAGGAAAAAGTTAGCTTCGCTAATTAGCGGTTAGCGGATTAGCGGACTGTGCCCACCACTGGCAGCAGCACTGTAATGTCCAGACACACACACTTCCTTCACCTGCAGGAGGTTCCCGGAACACGACGGAGAAGTTGAGGTCCGCAGCGAGGGCCTTAACCACCTGCACGTCGATGCCGTAGCCAGGAACGCTGCGCCCATCAGGGTCTTGAACGTAGAAGACGCTTGGCTTCCACTCGAACGTAGCAACCTGAGGCATATATAGTACCGTAACTAAATGTAAGCACCGGAGGCATATAATAACGTAACCGAATGTAACCACCTGACGCATACATAGTACCGTAACCAAATGTAAGCACCGGAGGCATATAATAACGTAACCGAATGTAACCACCTCCGCATATAGCAACGTAACCAAATGTAAGCACCGGAGGCGTAGAATAACGTAACCGAATGTAACCACCTGACGAATATAGCACCGTAACCAAATGTAACCACCTGACGCATATAGTACCGTAACCTAATGTAAGCACCGGAGGCATATAGTACCGTAACCGAGCGTAGCCACCTGAGGCATATAGTACCGTAACCAAATGAAAGCACCTGAGACATATAGTACCGTAACCGAACGTAGCCACCTGAGGCATATAGTACCGTAACCAAACGTAACAGTCGAGGCAAAGGCTAAAAGCATCTCATGAACTTGAGACTAAAGGAGGTACCTAGGAATTGGTGCTTCCTAGTTTAAAGGATGAATGATGCGTTATCAGACCACAACGAATTCATCTCCTGAAAACAGACTGATGGGTATCAGCGAGGTGATCCTAGCCGTGTTACGATGCTGGCAAAGACCAAATTGGCAAAAGTGTGAGGTACAGCCAGTTTGATGAAGTGGAATGAGTTTGATAAGTGGGGAGTCTGATGAGTGAGATAACAATAACTATGAGATAACTATGAGATAATTATATAAGTTATCGGAATCATCTAGAAACTGTACTTTTTTAGACTCATCTTAACGGAATTGAGAACTTTCGTGTCGTCAGCTTACATGGAGCACACGCTTGACACAGCTACGGCAGATAGTTTATAAACGCAATGAATAAAACAGGCCCAAAATTAACTGCTTTCTTGTGGCAAGCCACTGCGCACTGATATCCAGTATGGTACTGTACAGTTAATACCGACACGTTGGCGTCTAGCTATTATGAAAACTCTGATACATAGGAGTTCATTTCTCTCATTAGCATGGACTTTACGCAACAGCCATTTTACGCAACAACCGCTGATATAGAAAACTGTCACCGTTTTTTAGTAATTTCGTGACAAAATAAATCTGCACTTTTCCAATTTATTTATAGGTAAGTTTTCGTCATTTTGGGGTAATATTAGGGGTAACGAAACGAAAGAGGTAACGGCGGGGTTACGACGAAATATATTAATATTTCGTCATTTTTGGGGTAATATTATATTTCGTCATTTTGGGGTAATATTAGCAGTTTCAACTCCTGTTAGGGCAAAAGAAAGAGACCTCCTATGTTCATAGTAAATAGTTGGTCTTTGTATGAACGGCATCACTGACTGCAGTCATTCTGGAGAGTTTCCTAAGGTGCCTAAAACATACATACCGTGAGTGGGACGCCCATGAAGTCGGTGGGAGCGCAGGTCTTGATGAAGTGGAGATCGTTTGTAATCTCCCCCACCAGGGCGTCCAGGGACACGACCTCCGGGTCGTCCTTACGGTACACGCGATGTTGCGTCAGCACCCAACGCACCCCGGCCCTCCTCGACTGGAGCAAATTGTTTGCATGTAATTATGGTCGTGGTTACGGCGGCCAACCGTAACACTCAAGGGAATTCTTCCAAAATAACATAACTTCTGAAATTGAAACTTTATAATGATACTTTATGCTTTCAGAAATGTCATCTGAACCAAAGCTCAAACTGCAAAGAAGCGGATAGCAAGTGTTGAGCTATTTACTGCAGGTGAATCAAATGAATAAATTTTCAGGGACATGGTTACCTAAGCCTGTGATTCGTGACTTGAGTTTCTTCCGAGCCTATCAAGCTTATCGTTGATTCTAGTGTAAAATATACAGAGAAAATATTGTTAATAATGATTTTTAATTGATTTTTATCTATATATAACCCGCGTAGTTTAACATACGTAAAGGTATATATTTCATATCCATTTGTTTGAAACTATAGTTATAAAAATGTATCAATCTGTACACGTCATAGTTTGCAATTTGTTTATGGCCATTTTTTTGTCTGTTGAAGATTTAGATGGTTGTTGACGCAGCAACTAGTGGAAGCCACGACAACTTTCATTTACTAACCGCGTGCTGGCCTCGTTTAAAATAGCATTAGCTCTTTACTTGGTCAGTCCCGGTAGTGGCGGTATACAAAGCTAAAACAAATACGGTAAGTAAGTATACGGTAAGTAATGGGTCAACAGTGGCAGTGACCGCCACTATTGGCACCGTGTACACGTAAATTTTGTTCATAGAGTGTGGTGGGTGGTTCTATTTATTAGTCAGTGCCGTAAGGTTGAATCTTTTATCCACACAAAATACATGATACTCAATGACCCATTCATAGTTATATAAATCACGTTTCTGCAATTAAGACAGGGAGATAAAAAATGAAGCATACACTAGACCATTTCTCCCTCTAATAATAGAGTTAGTTGGAGTATTGTTGTATATAAAACCCTTTTTGAATACTCTTTGTTGGATAATGACATTTAATTGCACTTGGTGCGATATAAAAGCTGCGGTAACCCGGGGAAACTTTTGGTCACAATCCCTCAAACTTGGCCATTGTTTTCGATTGAAGACCGCAACAATGGCTATTTCCGATCTTTTTTTACTAATATCTTCTTTAAAAAAACAATGCAGACTCACCTTCATCACGTTCACTGCGCGCGTAGTTCGCTTGAATTTTTCCGATCTCGTTAACAATCGAAATTGGTCTGATGTCCAGCCAACGCCGATGTGCCTAAAAATGTAGTATTTGCAACGTTGTCAAACAAGGATTTCTTTATTATAACTATAATATAATCCCTAGCCTCACAATGATACTCCCCTGATTTTACTCGTTATTTTCCCAGACATGACAAATAATTTTTCTCATGGTTATCCTTCCCGGAGTTTTGATTATAAATAACTAAATATTGAACAAATTTTTATGAAACAGATGTATAGAGCGTAAAAATTATGTAAGCAATAGTAATAAGTAGCGTGGGGCGCGACAGAGCGCCGCCGTGAGTAGTAATTTTCATCATAATTCCTCTTTCTCTGCTCCTCCATAAACCAGTAAATAATGCATATATTCGCTATGTAACTTTCTCACTTCTGCTAACGAATGAGATCGACTTATTTTCTGGACCCCCCAATAGAAATAATTTTAATGGAAATATAAAAGAATTCGTACCGAAAATCAAAGTCCGAGTGTATTACCCCTTAGACACGTGCACGAAACAAGCTTCAAGATCCGAGTGTATTACCCCTGAGGCACGTGTACGTAACAAGCTTCCAGGTCCGAGTTTATTATCCTTTAGACACGTGCACGTAACAAGCTTCATTTTCCGAATGTATTACCCCTGAGACAATTAAGTGTGCGTACCAAAGCATCAATTAAAATCCGTGTTCATTACTTCTGACAAGAGCAGGCACCAAGCAGCAACGTTAGAATTTATTACCTCTGACACGTGCACATATCAGGCATTGTTCACGTAACCAGCATCAAAGTCCGATTATATAACTTTTAACACGTGCACGTACCAGGCATCGTGCACATACCAGGCATCGTGCACATACCAGGCGTCGAAGTCCCAGGCAGCGTCGGTGCCGTTCAGCAGCTGCAGGAGAGGCTGCAGGTCCGAGATGAGGTACACCCGCGTGCTGCAGGACGAGGAGCCTGGAAACATTGCTGGCAGAGTGGTTGGTGCGCTGCTGGAGGATATCACCTGCAGGATTGTTCTCATGATTTCCGGACGCTAAAAACAAGAAAAAAACAGCCGGGCGATTTAACCGTAAACATAAGATTAATTCTTGAAATTGAAACATATTTTCTCAGATAATCTCTCATTGGAAGTTTAAAGAAGCCAGCAAATATAAGACGTGCACTTGTGTAGTATTTAACAGAGCTTGATAATAAAAGGATTTAGCGAGATCAAAAGTTATGGCAGCTGTCGTGCATTTGAATCGGCCCGATATTAATGAGGTATACATGTTAAACTCGTTCGCACGTTACCCTGGTGCTCATGTTACACTCGCGTGTCCTAACCGCAGGTTAACTATGAAGGTTATAATCAACCATACACACTTTACCTCAATAACAAGTTGTCACCGTGCACACCTTACCTCATTTACAAGTTGCCACCGCATACCTTACCTCATTAACAAGTTTTATTTTATCAAAGGGGTCTCAGTGATTAGATTGCTGTTTTAATACCATTGATGGCGTTATAAATACTTCAACCTTGCATGGTTGTATTGGCGATAAATTACCATTTTGGGGATCGGAAGTTGAAGCAGCGCAATAAAGACGTCAGATCGCCGTCGTTCATCGTCCGCCACGATAACCAAGCTGCATGTCGGCGGCGATGAGCTAACCAACCGCAACACGATCACCGCCAACGATCGCTCATCTTCCGACGATAACTGATCTTCAATCGTCGATGATCGGCCTGAACTCGAGGAGGATAAACTGCTTAGTAATGTTGATGGGTGAATAAATCGAGCCCAATGAGAGATATAAGTCGAAAGTAAGGACTCGTGAACTGGTTATGAGGTGATACATTCCGAGAACTTGTTAAAATATAGAGGTGTTAAAAATTCATGCCCAATTTAACATAGTCATCATCGTTAGAGTCACGGTGTATAACAACAGTTTTGTTGGGGGGAAGGGCAAATGCCCAGTGTATGGCATGGACCCACCGTTCGTTGACTGCAGGTGCTGCCCATTGGAACACGACGTCGACAACCCTCCTTCATCAGAGAGGCCGTCACAGCAGGAGGCAACCGCGACTCGCAGTAGAAGGAGCACTTTAAAGGACACTCCTAGCTTGTGCATCTCCGTGCACTGGCACCGAAGAAAAACGTTTGTTTTCTTCAAATACAATACGCTAACTTTTAGATAAAAGCTAGTATTTGCCAGCCGATAGATCAAAAAACCATCGTATGAAATACATAAATGCAGATGCGTTCAACAAACTGAAAAATAATATAGTTTTTACAGTTTCCGTCTAATATATTGAAGGGTACACACTTTTAATTTTAGTTTACTGAGCCTTGCGTCACAGATTAGCCTTCTTGATCTAATTTGTTATTCAATATTATCATCTGGTCTTTGGGAAACGCTGACATAAGGGACCAAACTAAGTAAATAGAGGCCGATGATCTTAATAAATACAAGTTTTCTGCCTTAGTCGATTGCTTACATAAGATTGTATTCAGTATCCAAGGATTGGAAACATTAATACGCTATAACCGATTAATGTGAATTTTCCTAGAATTGTATAATACCTGACCGATATTACGCAATTAGTTTCTGTATTCGAATCTCCCCTTTTAAATTATTGATTTCTCTAGAAAAGGCAATTTCTTAACAAGGCTTCATTGTGTTACTAGAAAAGGCAATTAACATTCACAAGGGAGCACAGCACAGCACACTTCCATGAAGGGGAGCACAGCACATTTCCATGAAGGGGAGCACAGCACACTTCCATGAAGGGGAGCACAGCACATCACACTTCCATGAAGGGGAGCACAGCACACTTCCATGAAGGGGAGTGAGGCACTCATATATCAGGACACAGCTGCTACTCGCACTGCTGTCGCAGTCTGAGTGACGACGTGCCATTTTTTGGCCCTGATTTTATAGTGCCCTTACACTCGGCGGTAGCACGCATACCAAGCCGGAGAATTGCAAGCAATTGTAAAATAACATCTGATAAGTTATTTCAAGCAATATTAAAGCACAATTGAACCAGCCTCGTCTGATACGAATGAGGTTGGGCTCAGTCTAATATGAGTGAGCACAAGTAAGCTGAATTCAATACAGTGCATTTGCAATGTCACCACACGCAACGTACATAATAAACGTCACTCACAAGACTTTTCCAAAGAGATTAACAGTTTTATAGCAACAGGCCCTGCGCCCGCATGAAATATTTAGGATGCAAAGGCATAAAACACTTAAGGGTGCGTGTTCTTTGGTTATGAAGGCGATTGAATGAAGAGTTTGGCATAATAAATGATTACTATTGCTTTGTGTGATGCCTGAACCTCGGCGGGCGAGATCGGCTGGCCTTATTTATGGAGTACCGACATAACTTCAGCAAGGCATGCTGATTGCTGCTTGCCAGTGAAATTGGAATCGTTCACTGCAATAAAATCGAATTAGTTTGATCACATAAACTATTACTTCAAGGCGCCTATACTCTTTGTTTTCTCACAAATAAACTTACTCAGAGCCTATACTCTTTGTTTTCTCACAAATAAACGTACTTCATGGCGTCTATACTCTTTGTTTTCTCACAAATAAACTTACTTCATGGCGTCTATACTCTTTGTTATCACACAAATAAACTTACTTCATGGCGTCTATACTCTGTGTTTTCTCACAAATAAACTTACTTCATGGCGTCTATACTCTTTGTTTTCTCACAAATAAACTTACTTCAAGGCGCCTATACTCTTTGTTTTCTCACCACTCGGTGTCCATCTCTGCACTAGCCTTTAAATAAAGTGCATTGTTAAATAAGGCTCCAAGTTTGTGTATAAAATTTTACAATAGTTTATAGTTTTTTTTCGTGACGAATTTTTAGAGAAATTTGATCCCGAAGACTCTAAGAACTCTAATTGCACGTCGCTTAAGCGGTCTCAGCGGACAATTAAAATTCGATGCATCCGCAATCACATTTTATTTGCGCTATATATAGTTAGACGAAGCATTTCATGGAAATTTTGTCATAAAGACCAATTTTTCCATTAGGATTTTGTTGTGAAGATTATAGAACTTATAGGAATTGTGCTATTAAAACCAATCTTTTACGGGAAGTGTGTTATTCAAAACAGTAATTCTATCGCTAATTTGTTGTGGACAACAGTATTTTTTGAGATTGTCTTATTTAGGCTTGTAATTTTATTGCGAATGTGTAGCATGCCTACTGGAATTTAGTTATTTATGCCATTGATCAGGTTGTTAAGACCTCTGAGCGTCCATGGTATGAACATTTAATAACATTTAATTAATGTGGGTAAGAACATTCAATGTTCATTCGCGTAAGCATTGATTAGCTGCGGTATCAATACGATTGAACTTGAGCAGGGATTCACGAATAATGAGTACGTATTCAAGTGGTTATTTGAATAAAGGTATGAATACAATGAGAGGTAAAGTTTGCAAGTCACTATACGGGGATATTGGAAATATGTGGTATGGATCCAAATAAACTGTGGTATTAAGTGAGAAGAAAGAGGATACCAATGTATGTGAGAACTGAATGCACGAGGTATGAAAATAAAAAAATTTGGGTATTGAATGAGAAAGGCTATAAGACGAATACACGTGAGATTTAAAGAGTTAGGAATTATTACAAATAAAAGCCAGTATTCAATAGAAAATGCTAGAATACCAATACAAGTGAGATTTATAAGCGCGCAGAATGAATGCAAATACCTAAATGCGGTCATCAAATCGAAGAGATGAGAATACGAACGAAATTAAGATTTTCAATGAGAATGGCATGAATATATTCGATAATTATTTATGATGAAAACCAGAAAGAATTGATACAAATGAAACGCTGGTATTCAATAAAAATAGGCAAGAATTCCAACACACATGAAAGGCCACCGGAAGTTGTACATTAGCAGCGGGCATAGCCGCTATGCATCCTCCTATAATGAGCTTACGCGGGCACTAAAACAAACAAATGCAAACAGTCTTGTTGCGGAAGCCGCTCGTTTCCAATTAAATCATGATAAATGCGTCGTTACGATGTAGGTTGGCAAGATTTATTGCTGGTTAGGGCAAAGAGAAAAGGTATAGTGGCATTCCATTGTTTGTTGTACGGACCTTAAGAAGAAAGGAATGCCCGCCTTGCTATAAGTTGTGGACCAATATAATGATTACCAATAATTTAAAAGTAAAGAAAATACCCAGAAATTTTACCATTTCTTTATATGAGAAAACGTTCGGAGTCCAGCTCCTTCGTCAGTTTAAAAACCTATAAGCATTGCAGAATCAATTAGCAAACTAAAATTTGCATTGAAAATAATAAAACCTGAAGTGAAAAATGAATAATTAATAGACACGAGCATGCAGACAGGCCTGTCTTCTACAATTTCAAGGAGATAGGAGCCGCAGGCGGCATTCAAATTAGGTTTCTGTCCAAAAATATACAGGGATTCTTAAATTCGTAGGTCAGAAACACCGGTTGTGGAAGCTAAAGCTCTAAAAGCACTACCACTCACCGGTACGTTGCACTGCTAGGCATGAACGCGTACAGATGAATGAGGGGGATGTGCAAGCAGATTTCCCGTTCTATAAATTCTGTCTTTATGCTCCGCCATCCTATTATAAAAATTGTGTGACGTCATACTGACGTACGCTGATGCTCTTGCGCACAACTGCATCACTTGACGAACGCATAAGAAGTGGGAGAGTATCTATATACTTCAAAAGCAAGCTGATTTTAAAATTATCCACAAATACCAAGTGTATGTATATTACCATTCGGGAAGAATTTAATGAATAAAACTTTCTATTCCTGCATTTCAGACGAACTGTCAATGCAAAGAAAATAACAAAAATTAATACAATTGAATGTCACAGAGCCGAAGTTAAAATCTAAATTTACAAATAATAGATAGAGCACAAAACCTATCTATTCACAAATTTCATGGGGATAAGAGCTAGCAGCTGAATTCGAATTAGGCCATAGTTTATAAATGTGCAAGAATTCTAAAATGCGCAGATCTGAAGTACCGAAGGTGGAAGATAACACCCTAAATTCACTGTCAGATACAGGAACATCGCACTGCTCGGTATGAGTGCGCACAGCCAAATGAGGGGTGTGAGGGGGGGGGGTGATAGCAACTGTCCGGCCCTACAACTTCTGCCTTTATGCTCAGCGGCCCTGGAATATATTGCGTGACAGAATATTGCGTATAAATTCAAACTCAGCGTGCATAGCATGGTATGTTGAATATGTGTAATAAAGAAAGAAAGAAAGAAAACATTACATATGTAATGTTCTATACTTCTATTCATATGTACGGGTAATAAAGAAATCAGTAGCCTGTCAATTATTTCCCTGTTTATTAAGTCGTTGTGGAATTCCTTGAACTTGTAATAGTCATCTAGGTAACATGTTGTGACTTTTTCTTGCAACAACACGACCAGACACGTAATTAACAGACGAACAGCAAGACCTGGTCACATGACCTGGCACGCAAATAAACGAAAAACGAAACGCAAATAAACGAAATAAACAGCATGACCCGACCATTTGACTTGACCTGGCACGAAAAAGTGAGCTAATATTAAAAAAAAGAATCGATGGCTTGTGCACTCGAAGAAGATTTAAATGTTTCAGACATAGACTCGTAGATACATAGCAGTGGGTTTATAAAACCTCAACTTCGGGTTTGCCAGAAAAAGTGACATATTCTTTGAGCTCCCAGTATAACCTTTCGGACGCCCTAGGCGCAAAAGCTCGACTCCCGACACCTGCGACAGAGGTCCCGGCTGCATAATTGCTGCCGTTTTCAAAGGTGTCCGTGAATTCGTGAAATTAAATCATTTACAATGCATTGACATTCACGGTGTTAAGCATCGCGACAAGAGCTGTAATCGACTCAAGGCGCAGCAGATTTTGAATAAATTTTGTGGTAATTCTATGCCCTGCACTCAAAAGTACAACTTCGGTTGTTCTGATAAATGCAACTACCCTATGCTTAGGATTAGATAATATCAGTAAGGACTTTTCAACAAAATAATAATTTGTATACATATTTGATAAATTGTCAGCATTTCGGGTTATACAATTATAATATCACTTTTTATGGATAGATATCTAGAACACTTTGTTCACTTTCAATGGTGATTTTTTCATTTCTGCACGTGAATTTTTCAGCTCATTTATTTATCGAAGAAAGTAATAATCGACAACTTTTAATGGAAATTTTGTAATTTAACTACAATAAATTAGTTGACACGACAATGAACAAGATGGGTGAGTTTGGTTACTCAAAAATGGAATACGAAAAATTGCCATATTAAATTCTCAGGATGAAAGGTCAGCAGGGCAGTCAGGACACGCGAAGCTTCGCTCAATTTTAGGCATGCAAGCAGCACAAAAATCGAGAAATTAAATCAGTTCTCTTGGTTTGGATTTGATTTGAATGTAGTCTGGTCGTGATTTAAGACGGTTTAAAAAATTGTACTGCTAAGGGTTGAAAAGTGAGCTTATTCCCTTGTGAGATACCAGATTTATTTCGTAGCGAAAAACTGAAATAACACTTTAATGCAGTAGGTTATAATTTTTTTAATTGAATCGGACTATGCACACCAAATCGGGGTAACACTGACGTGGAGCCATGTGTACGGCAGTCGTCTGTCGTCCCAATGAGCTGCGTCGGTTCCTAAGGGCGCATGGCTTATTCTGTAATCAACAACTCGGAATGAATTATGTTGCCAAGGTGAGCCATGCTATCGATATATTTGCTGGATAATATTTTGCTTAATATTCCTATCTGTGTTGAATTGAGTGAGTCTTTCTTGGACTTATTTATTTCTTCTCTTTAGGGATCGCATATTACCGTATTTTCATTTTTAGCTCAAGCTTTCTTATCTGTATCACTAATTTGGTGATTCGTCATTGCTTGAATTAGTACTCAGCTTTTATGGCTTGTTATAAACTTTCAATATATCACCTTCAGCTGTCGTGCTATTTGTGTTTGATGATGTAACTTCTTCGCCAATTGGAAAGATTTGTATAGTTGAAGTTTTTTTCTTTTTGGTCGTGGTAGGGGACCAACCTAAATTTTGTGGTGGGCGTTTACCTTAATTTCTAAAGTAGGTTCAACACAGAAACGCATAAAGAAACCATGGAACTTTAGCATGAGGTTTTGCATTATTTCATTGAATTAAAGCAACGGCATAGAATGAGAGTAACCGTGAAAGAGTAAATAAGCCTTGAATAAATGAAAGAAACATTACTAATTATCAACTTACAAGTTTCAAATTCATTCAACTTACTCGAAAGATAAGAAAAAGGAAGAGAACACCTATCATAAAACACTGAAGTGCATTTCTTTGACCTGCATGAAGTATAAAAATCAAACTATTAGTATTAGCGAAAAACATTCAGGAACAAATGCTAAGTACATCCTTTCAACGGCATTGCTATTTGTCATATAGCTGCTCAGGGTCGCCGGAACTAAGTCGTGTAAAGAGTTGCGTCTTTGCGGTTAAACCTCCTCCCCCCACGGTGCTTTGCGACGATGGGATGGGATGATGAATATTGACGGTGAACTCAGAAAAAGGAATGGATTATATTGTCCAAATAATTATGCAACTTCTTACCCTCAGCTCTAGCAGAGAGCGGTCGTAGCATTGACACGCCATTCTGCTGCGCCAACTGATGTTATAGGTTGACGTCCACAAGGGAAAAAAGTTCGAAAAAACAATGACCCAAGCGGAACAAAAGCCTCAGTGAAATCTGTTTTTCGACGTTTCGATTTTCATTGTCTCGATTTGCGAGACGACGTTTCGTTGGAGCAGAGATGTAAAGACGAGCATCGTCTTGGATGTTGATGTAAAGGAATCGTCTAATTAATGAATTTCATTGGGACTTTTTTAATCCCGTGTACACTGTACACTGTAGAACCCCTGACTATAGTAAAAGAAATAACGTCCATTGTTCCGCGAGGAACTATTTGAAATGCTTAAAATTATACTCAATAATTTTAACTTAGAAACTTTGACATTTATTAATGGGTGAATAGTTTAAATTTTCGCTATTTTCTAGCGGTTTACTTTGTTCTTCAAAGGTTCTTACATAGTCATCAAGCAAGTTAAGGCACTTATCGTAGCGGTGGACAAGCTTCGAAATTCTTTCGGTATAGGAATCCGCTGCCTGCGATCTCTGCCACTCAGTGCAGTGACACACGCCCGGAGCTCGTCGACGTCATCAAAACGCTGTGTCGCTTCTTCGTCTTTGGAAACAAATGAAAATCACTTGCTTCGAAGACCGTTTAAGGCACCGCTGCGATAAGTGCCTTAATTTGTTTGGTGAAATGTAGAAAAGTAGCATTTTAGTCACTCTTTCGGATGTATATAATAAAATATTTTTTTTTGTACTGCAGTCGCAGTGTTAGGCTCGGGTCCTAATATGCGCGTCAGTAACGTCACCACCCAGTATAATTGCACTGGGTCTTCTGGGTTGAGAGGAACCACGAACACGGACTGCATGACTACGATAGCAAGTTGGTCGCGGGTCAATAGTACGTTGGATGGCGCTGAAGTGAGTAGAGCTGGGTAATTTAATGCAGTAAGGGTATTGAAGTACATATTTTTCACCATTTGACTGCAGAATCATGGTAGTCTAATTTATTCAAAAACTATTCCAACTTGTGCATCGGAAACGTAACAATAAAAACATTAGCAATAAGTAGAACTTACGCCAGCGATCTCAGAACGAAATTTATTCCTTCAATCGCATAATGGTGAAGTTGGTGAAACAGCCGGTGGGTACAGTATACGTACAGGAGTCTATTATTGAAGTTTTGTTGAAGACTAAAAAGTAATTCGTTGTTAAAATGTAAGAAATTTTAAGGTTACATTATTAATAATAAGGATTATTCTCTGGTCTTTAATTTGCTATATAGAATATTCCATTCTAAGCAGTTGTTAGTCTAATAATATAAGCGGCATCACAATTCATCACAGAACAAAAAGGAACAAAATATGCCGTAGAAAGTCGTCGATGAATTTTTGACCAGGCATTTTTTATCAAGATGTAGAGATAAAAATGTAAACAAACGAAAACCACATAATTTTATTTCGAATTTCAGAATCTAAGCATCAAGGTGCGACTACAAGGTCTTCTACATTTATGACTAATGGAAAAGAAAATGTTTACTCAATGAATGGGAGAGAAATGTCCAATAACTAGAAAGTGTTGCCTACACTCTACAGCTACATAAGTTGAAATTTCGCCTGGAAAACAAAACAAATTTCTATCATAATATTTTACGAAAATCACGCTTCTTATTGAAGTAACGGAAATATATATTGCCACGATGAAACTCCTGAAGATCTATTAGTAAAATCCTGTAAACCTTCTTCTTCACGTCACACATCAATCCTAGTAACATGTTTGGGGCGTCATCGATGGAAAAGATGCCTTTTTTAAATCTCTTTCAACATTTTTTCGCGACCAATTTAAAATTCTTCATGGAATTTCTAACATCAAGACTGTTTTAGGTTAGGAAACGATTATTTTGTGTTAGATTCGCATATATTATCACTTTACAGACTGTTAGTTTATGAAGAAAGAAGTGAAAAAACCTGGCATGAACATTTTTATTCATTTATTTATAGCTCAACAATAGAGAAATTGGAAATTATGTCATCCATGTTACAGATTGCAGCAATAAAGAGGAAAAATGTGCAATTTGTTAATTTTTCTCCTCGAAAGATATGAAGTTACTACAACATGCGAGTATAATAGATACACTGCGACGATGAATAAGTTAAGATCTGTTAGGTGGACAATCACTTTGATCATCGGACGCACTTTTAACTGCAGAACAGTTGAACGTCATAGTTTAAAAATCGAAATTAAAATCCTTAGACACGTGATTTTATAATACGTTTTTTTCTAAGCTGAGCTAGTTTTGTCTCTGTAATGAAATCTTTCTCGCAATATTGCAAGGCTCTCCTAAACAATAAGACTTTTTCCTAATGATATTAGTATAGTTTTAAGTTCCGCAGCTTCGTGCACAGCCATTTACTCCAGATCCCACGCTGCTCTTGGAGAAATGTTTGTCTATTGTATGTTTGTTAGACAAATGTTTGAGTTCAGAAACGTCAGAGCTCAAAAAGTTGCTGCATAAAAATATGTTCTGCTCTTTCATTATGACGAATAGTTTTGTTCCTCTGTGACCTTTAGGTCCTCTTTTCTATGTTTTTATTCTTTTTATTTTTCAGAGCTTTGGCAGTGCAAAGCTCTGCACAGAAGCAGAGCAGAGAAAATAACATGAGAATGCAGTGGATGAAGAAGGCCCCCGAGATGTGGTCCAGGGACAGTGGCACTGGACCGTCCTCTTCTCCAGACCTCTTCTCGGTGTCCTGGTTTTCAGCTTTGAATTCTCGTGTCTGCGACATGAAGAAAAGATGTTGAGATGTTTGCTCAGTGTCGTGGTGTTGCTTTAGGCATGCTTAGTACCAGAGCAAATTTATTAGCCAATTTACTATGTAGCTATCAAATTTTTCGTCTTCATACATCTATCGCACAGCTAATATTTTCTCTGTCTATCTTACCTCACTGTCTTCCCCTCACATTGTATATACCACCTGCTCATACGTGTTGCCAGCCATCTTTCACTCCAACCAATTCTTATTTCTGCTGGCCAAGACAAAAGTCTTGCACCGCGCAGCTGCCTTTGTGCCTTGACCTAGGGCTTCTTTACTCGATATATCTCTTCCTTTCGCTACCACGCTTTCTTGCCTCTCACTTAGTTCCAACCTTTTATTTAATTCACATTCTCAATAACGCCGTTCTATGTCAATTCTTAATTATCGGATTATCTTGCCCATTAGCTTCTATTACTCCCCTTAAACACCTTCTTCCCCTCCCACCTGTCGGGAGATCGTGAGGCTTTCGAGGAACCAGTGCCTCACGAGGCCGGAGTCGATGAGCCTCAGGAGCCTCGCGTCCACCGCCGCCTTCAGGGGCGAGTGTCGCTGCAAGGCCAGGGCGACGCTGTAGGGGGCGAAGCACTCCTGCAGGATGGTGGGGTGTGGAGCGTACATGATACAACTGAGGCTATAAGGTATGGCGTCTGCGTGGTGAATGTAAGTTAATTTAATGGTGCTCGCATGACACTTAGAAAGTGGAAAAGAAGGGAGGAAAGTTCACGGTGCACACATGATACCTTGATGTTGTACGTAAATTACTTTACTATTTTCTTATTTTCATGGTAAATTTTTATTCGTCACTGAATACCTAGTTCGCCACCGTCACAAAGAAGAACTCGATCGACGACCTTAATGACGTCGTCTTGGATTTTAACATTATACCTTCATGATACGCAGGCATGGGTTGGCGCAGGGGTAGGTGGCAAGGGTGTACTCGAGAAAATTACGGTTGCCGAGGTAGACAGCATCACCTTTCAGCACCGCTGGCCAAGCGCTCGCCAGGTCATCGTGCCCCACGAAGCGATCGGCCAAGCTCTGCGTGGTGACATCAACCACGATCAGCCATCAGACATGCCTCACACTTCACCTTCAGGTACTCTACAGTTCCATTCACGCCCTCATTTCGTCAAAAAACCTAAAATATTTTCGCCTCGCTTTGCCCCTGGTTACAGGTCTCTTTTGGCAGTCGGTTGTGGCTTAATTATTTCAGTGCTTTTTTGTGTTCACTCCCCAGACCCCAACTCGTATTGAAACTTATTAACTCTGAGTACACTTATCTTGTGTGTTTTTCTCATTCACTGTTGTCATGAGTTTCGTTCCATTTAATACCTTTAATCAATGCTTCTCAGAGACGCCTTAGCTCCGAACGCGAAAGAGTCGTCCCAGAAGACTAACCACACTATCCTCCATCCACGACAACGTCTACCTTCTTATCCACATCTTTTCGATCAGTAACCCGCATATTTTTTGAACGTTCGAGACCCCAGCCGTATCGAATAAAAAAAATATCATAAAATAACACAATTCCTAAATAATTTATCGAATCCAAAATTATAACATTCAGTTTAACAGCATCATATCATTGCAACATAGGGAAATGTGTCACATAGGCCCCTCCTTATCAAATATCGGGGCATGAAAAATCCATAATCTACTGATAGAGTTATACGAAACAATGGAGCCTCCATCTGCAAACCAGTCCAATCACTCCTCCAGGCATATCCCAACCATCGGCACCAATACAGTTAATACGATTCACATGATCCTAATTCGGTTACTTAAATCATTCATCACGACCGACTGGATACTATACGAAAATTCACTCTACCACCACTTCGGATCTTCAATGCCAGGCCCAAACTGTCAAATATTAACGCATTGGCGAATGATTTCGACACTAAATGTCACACTGAATTTAATTTAACAATCATTGCATTAAAATTTCGATTATGCAGTTTGACGCCTGCCATGGATATGCGCGAATTGTTATTTAATTTGGCGGATTGACGACAGAGGTGGGGTCGGCGTTAAATTCATCTCCCACCTTCAGGTACGGGTCGACCGCAGACGCAAGGCCGTCCTTGAAGAAGTCCCCAAGAGAGGTGACTAACAGACCCGTGTCATAGAGACCCTTGACGGTCTCGAACGCCGGAGGGATCTTGGTCACAGTCAGGAATGCCGTGAGGTTACTGCAGTACGCGACGGTGATGACGATCACGTACAGCCAGACCACGCTCAGCAGCAGCTGTCATGGAATAAGCAGCAAAAATCACGTACAGACCCATGGCTCACGCGTACATATGACTTGAGAATATAAGTTTATACTACTGAGGTGCCGCTCACCTGCAGCTATCACGCACTCAACAGATGCATAGAAAATACATTTGATGCATATTCAACACATGCAAGAAATACTTACTTACTTCAACTTCTTACGTATTTCTCCTATAAAGTCTATAAGAACCACGTCACCATACTTTCTGAAACGGCGACTTTTGACAAGCAGATATCAACACTCTAGAGTCTATAAGACCGCCAAGAAGTTAGTCACAATTAGAAGTTTTTTTAACATTCTTAGTGGAATGGCGTCACTTTATGAGCATATACTGATAATCTAGACCTATAAAATTCCTCACATCTCTCGTGGCGTGCCATTCAAATCACGCAAACTTCCTGCCAGACAGTGCATTTTTTCCCAACTTTTGATACATGAATAAATAATCAAGAGAGGTACGAAATAAATGCATTTTTTAATAAATGGCATTTTTGCTTTATAAAAACGTACAATATTTGATCCATTTTACTTACAGAATGAATCCATCATCTGAGGATAACCAAATTCTAGCAAAGAGCCCCTGCGAAATGAGAATCGTCCCACATGAGCGGCTGTTGCGGAAATTGCAGTCTTTGAGAATTGACAGCAATGAACTCGAATGGATCAGAGATTTTCTAGTAGGGAGACGACAACGTGTCAGTTTTAATGGGTCCGTATCAGACTGGGCTCCAGTGCGAAGCGGCGTGGCACAAGGAAGCATTCTCGGCCCTGTTTTATTCGTTTCGTTTATAAACGATCTGCCAGAAGCTGTGTCTGACGACACAAAAATTTATAATACAGTGAAGAATGCGTCGCAAAAATTACAGTTACAAGGTGATCTTGACAGGCTGGTTGACTGGGCTGATAAGTGGCAGCTGCGTTTTAACGCTGACAAATGTAAAGTTATCCACCTTGGCAAGAATAATGAACAGCAAGATTACAGTGTGAGAAGACACGGTTGCAACGACAGAGTGACGATATCGAAGTCGACAATGGAAAAAGATTTAGGAGTTAATATCGACAATGAGTTGAAATTTTCTATGCATATTGAAGGTCAAGTTTATAAAGCCAATAAACGACTTGGACTGATCAGACGCTCTTTCGAGTTCCTAGATGCAGAAACGATGAAGCAGTTGTTTTTTGCTGTCGTGCGCCCGAATCTAGAGTTCGGAAACGTCGTGTGGTCACCGAAACTTGAAAAGAACAAAAATTTAATAGAGAGTGTTCAAAGACGTGCAACAAGGATAATTCCGGGCTTGAAAGGCAAGTCAAATGAGGAAAGATTAAAGATTATGAAGCTTCCAAGCCTCGGTTATCGACGTCTGCGTGGGGAACTCATTGAAGCATACAAGTATACTCATGGCTTATACAAGGTCCCAGAAGGATTACTAGAATTTGAAACAAGAACCAACACCTGGGGCCACGGCTATAAACTAAAAAACTGCGTTGTAACACATCCAATCGACAACATTCCTTCTCGCTTCGAGTCACCGACATGTGGAACAGCCTCCCTGATAGCATCGTTGACGCTCCGAGTATGAACGCCTTCACGAACAGACTAGACGAAGCTATGCAGGGGCATATGTTCAGTCTTAAAATGCCTAGCAAATTACGGACCAGGCAATAAGTCCAGACGAAGCTATGCAGGAGCATATGTTCAGTCTTAAAATGCCTAGCAAATTACGGACCAGGCAATAAGTCCAGCAGCTATCTCAATCAATCGTCAGTTATGGAAAGATCGGGTTCAAATAGGCAGAATCCCTTGTGAATCAAGTCACGAAAAATTCAAGAATCAGCAACAGGCCATGGGCCCATTTCTTCAGTGCCGACACTTTGATTCTATTCTATTCTATTCTAAATGACGCACCCTGGAGCTGTGCCTCTCAGGGGTCCAGTTCACGGGTTCTCTGAAGACTTGAATCAGCGTCTGCTGCAGCGTCTGCTTCTTCTTCGTCGGCTGCTCCGCTCTACCATGACATTCATGCAGTTTAACAATGGCATATGGGATTACTTCATGCAGTTTAACAATGGCATATGGGATTACTTTTAACTATAACGGAAAATAATAGTTATACATGCAATGCTTTGCATCCATTCGGGAAATGGCATATATTATTTTGGCCGAAATCTTTCAATAATGGATTTTTCGTGCACATTACGTTCAATCCAGCCAAGGGGCACGAACTCACAAACATTAACTTACAAGAAATGCGTCTAGCACTCAATCTGCAAAGCATTCGCTATAACACAAACAAGCAGCCGTCAATTTTCATCATAACTGGTGTTATAAATAATGGTATATAGTATAAAAATGTCATTTAATAAAATAATTAAATGTATCCCGGATGATTACGTACAACTTCGGAGTGAGCATCGTAGTGATGATGAGGGCCAACTCGAGGGAGAGCAACCCAAGCCCTACCGCCATCCAGGCCTCCCTGGAGAAGGGGAAGGTGAGGCTCCTCCAACGTGGCAGGGGCGGAGTGGTACTTGCCATGAAGCAGGAGAACTGAGGCGTGTATTATTTCGTTAATAATTGAGTTGATATTTGATAATGGGCTCATAATTTGCGAAATGTATGATCGATCTGATGTATCAGATGGTATCAGTGCTGCATGTGTGGTTTGAAACATTCAGTAATATGAGGAGCAGAATGGATTGGACATGTAATGCAGCTGTGCTCGATTTCTTGACATGACGGATTCCTAAGATCTTTGCGGTTAAACATCAGTATCATACGGAGTGCAGAATAGCGCCAGTACTGCAATACCTCAACATCATACGGCGTTCAGAATAGCGCCAGTACTGCAATACCTCAACATCATACAGCGTGCAGAATAGCGTCAGTGCTGCAATACCTCAACATCATACGGAGTGCAGAATAGCGCCAGTACTGCAATACCTCAACATCATACGGCGTTCAGAATAGCGCCAGTACTGCAATACCTCAACATCATACGGCGTGCAGAATAGCGCCAGTACTGCAATACCTCAACATCATACGGCGTGCAGAATAGCGCCAGTGCTGCAATACCTCAACATCATACGGCGTGCAGAATAGCGCCAGTGCTGCAATACCTCAACATCATACAGCGTGCAGAATAGCGTCAGTGCTGCAATACCTCAACATCATACGGCGTGCTGTAGAGGACGACATGGTTTCTATCAATACTGAGGAAGAGATCGCCAACTCCGAGGTCGGCGCGGGTGCTGTTCACCATTCCCACCATGCCTGTCCACTCTGCCCCCTCCTGCCTTCCCCAGAACTCTCCTGAACGGGAAATGACAACACTGAAGAAAGGAGGTGATAAATTGTGTAGGAACGTTTTTGTGGTGCAAAGCTACTTTACAGTCCTGATGCTCACTCTACGCACCTGCAGGAGGCTCCAGGAACACGATGGAGAAGTTGAGGGCAGAAGCAAGGGCCTTCACCACCTGTATGTCCATGCCGTAACTCGGCAATCTGCGACCATCGGCGTCCAGGGCGTAGAAAACGCTGGGGTTCCACTCGAACGTGGCCACCTGAGCGCGAGAGTGCAGGTATCAGCTGACAATAATTTTGATAGAACGACAGGCCAAAGCTATGAATGAGGATTTAAGCTTCCATGAGGATTATACGAGTAGCACAGGAGGCGCAGTAAGAAAGAAATTGGGAGCTCCGGATAAGAAAGCGTTAAGAAGGTTCAAAGAAGAGGTGCACTGTAGGTAATAAGAATAAAGATAAGAGTTCCCACATAATTTCTTCACCAGGAGGTTGCAACGATGCTTATGAGATTTAATGGGACGTATTTGGAGTACAAAGTTTGTTCCCTTTGCAAGGGCCTCTCTCCAAAAAGCCAACCGTGATCAGTAGTATAAAAATCATTTGCGATTAATAACTTCATTCTTCTTCCATGTCAGTCTCCACTTCTATTGTGTTAGTATCTGGCAAAAACTCTCCACTGCTGATAAACTGACCTAAATTAATGACGCAACTTCAATGGTTCGGTGGAATGAAATTGACGTCTATTATAACGGCATAAAAATGAATTTGCTGACTGCTGAAGAAGAACTTGAGTAAAATTTTTGCAAAACAACATTGGCAAAGAAATCATGCACCATATTGTCAATTTATTGTGTAGCAAACATACTAATATGTTCAATGGCTACCGTGAGCGTGACGCCCATGAGGTCGGTGGGAGCGGAGGTCTTGACTAAGTTGAGATCGTCCGACATCTCCCCCACCAGGGCGTCCAGAGGCACAATCTCGTGGTTGTCTTTCCGATACACGCGATGCTTCACCAGAATCCAGGGCACCCCAGGGCTTTTTGACTGCAAAAATTCCATACGCGTTGTTTTGAGCGGATAGAAGAAATAACCTCTCCAATCGAGGTGGAAAAAGATTTTCGCTCATAATCATACTGTAATGTAATTCAAATGCTAGTGAAAAGTATTATCATTATTAGGACTTGGTCATCGGCCCACCTCGTAGCCTTCAACACAACATAACATCGCACTTCATCACATCTTTCACACAGTCTGAACCTTAGTTGTTAATTTAAAACATACTAGGTTGTTCGTAATTTTTTCTTGTTTTCTGAATATTTTTTGTCAACTTATGCTCCGCCACTTCGGTCAAACTTTTGCTCTTAACTACCATTTTCCTGTCAAAGACTTAACCCTTTACCGCCGTGTATATGTCACTCTCCGGGAACATGACTTTCAGATGAAATTGTGCGTAAACTATTGATTGTAACAACCTGAGGACGTTTTTACGCAACAGAGAACATTTTAAAGTTGTCGTACGTGGCGGCAACCATCAGTGCAAGTCATTTTGCGCTCACTACAACGTATTCTTTTTGGGATGTAGGCTTGTTACAATATTGCTCCGGTTTCTGAATGTCTGGCGGTAGAGGGTTAAGTTAAAATCTCGCGGTCTTTACAGCAACTCAACGTGAGCCAGGGCTCAACGAGGTGAGACCATCCATACCACAGTAAATTCCAAAGCTTTAGTTTGTGATTCATTAAGTTGCTGCTCATAGTCTAATGAGATGCAATAGTTTTTAAAGTATCTTCTTTGCATGTAAATAAATGAAATAAATGTCTCAAATTTGATAAACAGACCATGGTAGTGCTCTAAAGTCCTGAAACATTCCGTCTTATTCCGTTCGAGGTCCTCAGAATTGTTTTTGTTGGTCTCAGATAACTCAGAACAACCGATAACATCATTTGTCATTAATTTTATTTTCAACCTCTGCTCTAATTTTTCTCATTCACCTTCATCACGTTCACTGCCCGCGGTGTCCGTTTGAGTTTGCCTGAACCCGTAAACAATCGGAATTGCGACTCCGTCCAGCCAACGCCAATATGCCTGCGAAGAGAATTGCCGATATTAGAAATGTCGTCATCTATTGCCACCTTATTCAGTATAATCGTAAGCTTCACGATGGCTTTAACCGGAGCTCCTCTAACAATCAAAATGCTTGCATCAACGACATCGTGACGCGCTCAAGTTGGGAGGTGCTTCTGCTGCATGTCGTAGAGCAATGAAAAAATCATGACGAGCTCGAATCTCATGTAACCAAACCCAAAAATCAATGGATTTCACAAATTGCAATCTTTGTAAAATGTAGATACAAATTGATTACCAGTGAGTAGTAGCTTGGTTAAAGCATTAATTTTATGTCTGGTCAAGTATCCGCAAGAATTAGGTTGCAATTACCAATGAAATGTAATTATTGCAAGTATTTATTAGAGTTCGAATGTATTAACCCCCGGTACGTGCACTTGCCAGGCATCTGTACGAATATTGGTGTACGGTAGTTAGACATAGCTGTTTTTTACTACAAGTTTCATTGAAGAACAGAGTTTATGTTATTAACGATTTTCTTTTTGCTTTTCTCTAATTGACGAATCAGGCTTTTTGCGGGATTGGAAAATATAAATATTAGGTTTCCGAGAAACATTTATTAGAATTTACGAATTTTCGAGTAAGCAATATTTATTATCAAGTAGGTGAAGAGCAAAGGGTATATAAATCGTCAATAAGATATGCTCCCTGGTCTTCAATGTATCTTATATTACCAGGTAGTGGTCGCGTGCCAAGCATCAATGTCCGATTATATAACTTTTAACACGTGCACATACCTGGCATTGTTCACGTAACCAGCATCAAAGTCCAATTATATAACTTTTACCACGTGCAAATACCAGGCATTGTTCACGTAACCAGCATCAAAGTCCGATTATATAACTTTTAACACGTGCAAATACCTGGCATTGTTCACATAACCAGCATCAATGTCCGATTATATAACTTTTAACACGCGCACGTACCAGGAATCGTGCACATACCAGGCATCGCGCACGTACCAGGCATCGTGCACATACCAGGCATCGTGCACATACCAGGCATCGTGCACATACCAGGCATCGTGCACATACCAGGCATCGTGCACATACCAGGCATCGTGCACATACCAAGCGTCGAAGTCCCAGGCAGCGTCGGTGCCGTTCAGCAGCTGCAGGAGAGGCTGCAGGTCCGAGATGAGGTACACCCGCGCGCCGCAGGACGAGGATTCAACATGTAACCCCAGCGGAGCACTTGATAGGATGCTGGAATGCACGACCTGTAAATATTTTTTGATAGATTTATAGAAACGGGAAATAATGCTACACTGACAAATAAATTCTGCACTACAAATAATGCTACACTACAAGAGACATTAATCGTGCAATAGTGGCAGAATTGATATTGTATCATAACTGGCGTGATACAATATCAATGCTGTCCAAATTGATATTATTCCATCATTGGTGTGATACAATGTCAATACTGTCACTATTGGTATTGTATCGTCATTGGTGTGACAATGGTTGTGGTTTACCAGTTTAGGAATTAGTAGCAGCAGTAACGTATCAGTCAAATCAGATCGCCGCCATTCATCGTCAACAACGATCACTAAACGGCAGTATATCGGTGATGTGTCGATCAACTGTAATACGATCTTCTTCAGATTCTCTTCACTTTCTGACGATAACTGATCCCCGGTCGAAAATGATTGCTTTAAACTTGACCACAAACTGCGCGATTTTTGGTTTGGGTGGTCGCCAGAAAAAATATTAACTTCGAAGGATGTTTTCTCGACTCGACCAACCCCAACAGATTTTGAAACGGACGAATTGATTCCATTAATAATATGGCTAACATCTTTTACTTCGTGGTGAAATAAGCCAGTTCTGTTTAGGCTGCTAACATCAGTAGGTATTGTTGATCCATGATTGATTGAGACCCACGACTCTTTCTTAGTTGGCTGCTTGTGCTGTCCATTGGAGGGCATCGTTGCTGACCCGGCATGAGTCAGGCCAGCACAACTTGAGGCAACCGCCACCCACAGCAGGTAAAAACCGTGCAATCCTGGCGAATGCATCGAAACAGGTGGCACTGGAGCAACAGACAAGCGAAGGCTGATAACATTTTACCGTGAAAGGGAACTATGAGTTGCATGCATGATCAGATGACTTTTTACACTGGGTAATAGTTCTGTTGTGAAACAGTCCCTGCGAAATAAATAAACAGGGAAATGGTGAACATGCTCAGGAACCGCGTTTAGAATTCTCGGTTTAGGGTTTCTTTCTGCAAAATTTATTATTGATAATTAAGCTCAGCTGTGGTTTGCGATGGCTTAGTCTGGTGTCAAGATTTGTTTTATTCCCTAATATCCACAAGGACTTGGCAACTGAAAGCGCTGATTTAATTGACCCAAAAACATCGTTGTTAACTTCATAGCATAATTAGAGCAATAGAAGCTGTTCATTTCGCAGACATGAAATGTAAGTGTGGCTGTCTTAAATCTTTGCAACACATCGTAATGCATCATTATAGGTAGTGGGATCCGTAAAACGCTCTAGAAGAGCAATAAGGTGGAACGTAATAATATAAAAGTAATATTATAATATTTTTCTTATTTTTTAATTCAAGCAAGAAAAATCAGAGAATTATATCTTCAATAATTGATATTCAGGACTAGTTTTACCACTCTCGCAATGATCTTATTGGATTCAAATCATTTTTGTCTGTTTCAATTTTCAATTACACCAAATGTAACGTCGACTTAAAAAGAAGACTAAAGTTATTTTTGCAGCATGAATGAGTTTAAAAACAGTTGAAAATTGATTATATCGCAATGCATCTAACTTTCACTTTCCTTTCGTATTACATCGCAAAACGCACCGTCAGTCATCATGCACGATTGATATAAAAAACATAACTCAGTATTCACTGCAGTAAATGACAGAGAACGCATTTTCTCGTCGACGAAAACGTGAAGTCACGGACGGACAGACAGACAGACGGACAGACGGACGGACGGACATGGCGAGCACAATAGTGCATTTTTCCATAAATGAGAAAATATGCTAAAA